GCCCACCGCTGCTGTTTTTAGTATTGTCATTGTTATTAGCCGCCAACTCTGGCCTTGAATTCCTTTCTGTGCCAGCAGTTGGCATAGAGTAGTAGATGTCCCTTTAAATGGAGCGTGAGCGCTGTGTGCATCCCTAGTCCTTACCACTCCTGTCACCTCACAGCTGTCCTGATCTCTCATTAACGTTTTCTTTGCCTCCTGCTGACCGATCCAACCCTTGGGCATTCGTATCCAAGAGGACTGACTGTGGATCAGCCTTGATGGAGGTCCGACCCTAAGATATTTAGTAAAGGTGTTCTTTTTTTCCTTTCTTTTTTTTTTTAACTTGCTATAGCACTTACTGGATAACTGGAGAAAGAGAGGGGCAGAGAGAGGGAGAACGTGGTCTTTGCCTCTTTCCTTTCCTTTCCTTTTCTTCTCCCTCCCTCCTTCCTTCCTTCCTTCCTCTTTCTCTCCCTTCCTTTGTTCCTCCCTTCCTTCCTTCCTTCCTCTTTCTCTTTTCTTTTTCTTTTTCCTTTCCTTTCCTTTCCTTTCCTTTTCCCTCCCTCCCTCCCTCCTTCCTTTCTCCTCTCCTCTCCTCTCCTCTCCTCTCCTGTCTTTCCTTTCCCTTTCTTTCTTTCTTTCCTTTCTCTTTTTCTTTTCTTTTCTTCTCCCTCCCTGCTTCCCTCCTTCCCTCCTTCCTTCCTTCTCTTTTCTTTTCTTTTCTTTTCTTTTCTTTTCTTTTCTTTTCTTTTCTTTTCTTTTCTTTTCTTTTCTTTTCTTTTCTTTTCTTTTCTTTTCTTTTCTTTTCTTTTCTTTTCTTTTCTTTTCTTTTCTTTTCTTTTCTTTTCTTTTCTTTTCTTTTCTTTTCTTTTCTTTTCTTTTCTTTTCTTTTCTTTTCTTTTCTTTTCTTTTCTTTTCTTTTCTTTTCTTTTCTTTTCTTTTCTTTTCTTTTCTTTTCTTTTCTTTTCTTTTCTTTTCTTTTCTTTTCTTTTCTTTTCTTTTCTTTTCTTTTCTTTTCTTTTCTTTTCTTTTCTTTTCTTTTCTTTTCTTTTCTTTCTTTCTTTCTTTCTTTCTTTCTTTCTTTCTTTCTTTCTTTCTTTCTTTCAACTTGCTATAGGGGTCATGCACTCACTAGATTATGGAGAAAGAAAGAGAGGAGAGAGGGGGGAGAGAAGCCAGATACTTTAGTGGGGGATGCACATATTGTAGTCCTTTCTCCTCCATTCTGCTCTCAGGATTTTGGGTACACCCATATGCTTTGGCCTATTTTCAAGCCACCAGCTGTGGGACTCAAACTGTGCAGCTGGCCATATGGGACCCAGCTACCTTAACCTCCTGCCACTGGCAGACCCTAGCACAGTGGTTCCTAGTGTGTGTTTCAGAGCTGTTACATCATGTCACCCAGAAACTTGTTCATAGGCCTCACCCCAGACCTAATGAATTAGAAACTCTGGGTAAGTCTAGCACTCTGAGTTCATATTATCTATATTTGGTTTCCATGAAAAATTCAAAACATCGAAGTCTGTTTTTAGGCACTTGTAATGATTTGTAAAATTTGCACTTTCCTTAATCAGGCTACTGACTTCTAAACATAAATTTTCTTAAATATTAGATGTTACTTTGGGCTTTTCTGCTGTTGTATTTTGTTCTGTTAAAATCCACGAGAAATTTGATATATGAATTTATTGGAGAAATGTGATTTTCATGGAGGCAATGGTTAGACATTTTTAGAAAGAAGATTTTAGAGGTGACTAGTTAGTGGCATGGTGTTTAATGCTCTGGATCCAACTTGGCTGACATGTTGTTCAAATCCTGGACCCAGCAGTCTGAGAAACACACCAGTGCATGTGCGTGCATGTCTGAAATCCCAGAGGAAAACGGAAAAGGGATCACAGCATGGCCATCTCCCCTGGAAGGTGTTTTCTCACTTTCCCTCTCTCTTACTTTGTCTCTGTCTCTTCTCTGGTGAGCGTGGGCATCCTTTAGCAAAAACTTAAATAAATTGGAAGAAGATTTTGGAAAGGTACAGGAAACAACTTTTAAATGGATATAGAATAATGGGATTAATAAGATTGGGTAATTTTTATAGGTTATGATGTAATGACTTTAACAGCCTTCATACTTCTGAGTTGGAAAGTTGCCTGGCTTCCCTGCCTGCCCCTCCCCCTTTACAGTAATTTCTTTGTTTTCTCAAGAATTGTTTTGTGTGTGGCAATTATATCTCCCTCTTCAATCCTCTTCCTCTCCTGGAGGATGTTTGGTAGATCTTATGCTTTTTATCCGGTAAAAATAATTACATTTTAGCTCTTGAAAAAAGCCCTTAGTTGTGTTCTGAGCTCATAGACTATATTAAAGCTACTTAAAATTTTTTTCTTTTCTTTTCTGTGTGTCATTTATGGCTGGGCTATAGCATCCCATTCTTTAAATATTCTTGAAATATAGTATTTGTGATTGCTAGTATGGAAAGGAAGCTCTTCATTTTGCAAGTGGGATTTTAAGATAGCTCTAATCTGCTTCTTCCAGTTCTTGGTTAAGTACTTCATTCTATAGCTCAAGCATTGTGCTTTTGACTGCAATATTATTACAATACAACAAAGTATTTGTGTTCATGGAGGACAGACTTGCTACTGACATTTTATCTTTAAATGTTGTTCTAAAAGCTTGCATACATTCTCTGTACGCACATTGAGTGGAGATTGAAAATGTCATAAAAGGCTGGTCCTGTAGCCTAGTGGTGAAGGGAGCTGGATCCCACACGGACAACTGTGGTTCACATGTCAACCCTGGTGGCTTGAGAAGCACTCTGAAAGGGCACGTGTACTTAGATGCTCCAAATTCCGACAGAACAGAGAGCGAGAAGATAGATTTCAGCATGGCTATTCCCTTTTGGGTTGCTTTATCTCTCTCTCTCTCTCCCCTCTTTCTCTCGCTCTCCGTGTGTGTGTGTATGTGTGTGTGTGTGTGTGTGTATGTGTGTGTGTGTATGTCAATGTCTGTCAAGTGTATGCCCCCTCTGGCAATTAAAAAGAAGAAAAAAACACTTAAGAAAAGAAAATGTCATTGGAGTTGACATAGACTACCCACCAAGCATAGTTTGCTGTTTCACAAAGGGAAGCTTAAATGCAGTTACTTCTGTACAGTACAGCCTTAGCGTGTGTTCATGTTTATATCGTGTACTCATTGGAGATAATGTGGGCGTAGTGACATCCCTGATAGTAAGAATGGCTTCTCTTATTTGAGAGAGTGAAAAAAAATCAGATATCTCGAGCACTTTCTAAAGAAGAGTTTTAGAGACTGTAGTATGTTACAGTTACAAATTTCGCTTAAGCGATACCAGCAATGCATAGCTAATGAATTTTGTCCATAGCTTTATACGTGAAATGTTGGCAGCAGCCCCCAGCTACACATGGGCTGTTTAATGATCCTCCTTCCTTCATGGATTCCACTAGCGATCTCAGGACCAGCATTCCTCAGGCCCCTCCCAACCCCACTGCTGTAGGAGAGCAGCTGAACGGTGCTTGAGCTTTCATTTCAAGAAATTCGCCTCATGATTCGATAACGGTGTCAATGGAACAGGGTTCCCTTTTGCTTTTCTAGTACATGAAAATTAAACCTTTTAAAATGAAAGATTGATTGATTGCACAGCGAGAGTCTCTGCTCTCAAAAGTATACATAGGTTCTTAGACACGTACATACATAATATGTGATGGGTCAGTCACTAGGCAGTGTGATAAGTACAGCCATTGACATGTGACAACATACACGTGAGGGACTGATTGCGCTTGAGACGGTGGTGAGAGGGACATCATGGAGGAGGTGATGACCATGTAGAGTGTTAGGGAAGAGTTTTCTAGAGAAATCTGAGAGAAATTGTATGTGCCATGACACAGGAGCCAAAAGGAACATGGCCTGTTTTGATAGTTACTAGCTTAGAAGAATGTCAAGTTCAAGGGATGAAAGAGCAGTCAGGAGATGAGGCCAGATGGGTGAACAAGTTCTGGGTCTTTTGAGGCCATGGAGGAAGCCTGAGTGTCAACTCGTGATGATTGTGTTGGAGCCAATGGCACATTTATAAACCATGACTTCTCCTTTCTGTATTTTCTGTAGAAGATGTAAATAAGCATCCACAATAAACCAAAAAAAAAAAAAAAGTTTGCTATCTCGAACTACAAAGATACCGGGGAAAAATATGAATGTAAATAAGTACAAGTAGGTCATCACGCTTTGACAGTTACTCAACATAGGTCAGCTGAATTTCTACGTATACGAAGAATAGCACTTTCCGAGTTAAGACACCTGTAGTCATGTCTGTGGGAAGTCTTGTGAAAGACACCAGCAAAACATGGACATGTCTGTTCTCAGAGAGTCCTAACCATTTTGGGGGGGTGGATGTAGTAAAGAACATAGCCAACTAGGGAGCCAGCAGTTAGTGTAATGGCTATGTCGTTGGACTCCCACGTAGTCGACCCCGGTTTGCGTCCCGGACCTGGTAGCTTACAACTCACGCTGGGCGTGTGTGCATGCGTGCCCAAGATCCCGAGAAGAGAATGGAGGAGAAGGGATTGCGGTGTGACCATCCCCCCTGGGGGGTGATTTCTCGCTCTCTGTCTCTATGTCTCTCTCTGTCTGTCTGGAGAGTGCACGCACCCTATAGCGAAAATCTCTCCCCCCCCCAAAAAAAGAATATAGCCAACTAGTAAAAGAAAATCAGCACTGAGGACCTAATACACATTCCCAAGCAGTCAGAGAAGTAATTATTTTTGACAGGTGTCAGACCCACCGATGCCGAACAGTTCCTGACTTTGGGGAGAGGAGGGTGAGGATTAAAGAAAGACAAGAAGACAGGATAGAAACAGGAGGACTGCCAGTCAATACTGGTCAGCACTGAATGTACTTTATTGCTAGTATTTATACACACTCCAGAGACTTCTGTGATGTAAGGTTTTTAGTCCTTACTGAATTTATCAGGTGGTTATAACAATGCTTTGGAACATTCAGTTCAAAACAATCCCAAGACATTCTGCTCATAACAATCCAGCCACCCAAGGTCATGTCCAGATAAAGACCCTGGTCTTATTCTGGTGGTCACGTCCTGCACATTTCTCACGTCTCCTCTTTTCTCCCCACAGACAGGGCAGGGGGATATGGGCTGGGACCCAAGGAGGCTTTGCCGAGTAGGTAAATTGTTCAACCATTAGAATATTTGCTGGGCAAAGGGAGAACTCTACACATAACATACCATGGTCACCCTCGAATTGTACACACTAAAGACATAAGCAAAGTAGTTTTAATTCTGTTCTCCATGCCTCCAGTGATGTAAAGCGGTCATGTGGAAGTGGCTTTTTGCAAGTGTAAGAAGAGAATCCTTCCTCCAGGATTTCTGAACCACTTCAGATCCTCAAACTCTTTGCCAGGAGCATCTCTTTCATCCCCAGGCTTCATATTTCACCAGTGGACTTTAGAGGTTGAGTTGTTCGTTTGATTTAAATCAGAAAGTATCAACATTTGAGTGATACAGAAGCAGTAGTGTTTTTTGAATTATGTGTACTGAAGAATGTGATAAGAATGTGATAAGATGGTTAGAGAGATTTGGGGGGATATACATTTCTTCTTAATCTTTTCCAAAATGTTAAGTGAACATTTTTGAAAGCATGACCTCTAGTGGCCGTCTGCTTTCTGTTACATTCTCGGAATGAGAGTTCACTCTGCTTGTGACTAGATCTATGTGAGGTTAAAATTTTTATAATCTTTTTTTCTACACCAGGATAATGAAACCTGAGAAAGCATTTCTTCTCATCCTTTTACCCTGTTGCTCAAGTTTGATTTCCAAAGAGATCTCAGCAATAAATAGAAGTTAATTCTGTCTAACATTGTCAGCCTAGGGTTATGTTGTCTGTCTGACTGCTGTGGTTTTCCTGGCTTGATGCTGAGGTCTTTTTCCCTCTCATACATGGTAGCTTTTCTGTGAATTTCTTACATAAGAATATGTATATTAAGGGATCCATACAGATGTTAGTTGCTGCCAAAAAGAGTGTTGTTTCTTTAGCAATAAACAGTTGATTTTGCAATGTACAGTCAGTCTTACTGTTGGTTTGACTTTGAGTATATGGAATTCTGGCAAAATGAAATGGCGCAAAACATACAAAAAAGACAGCCACGACAACAAATACTTTACCTTCCAGTTTTTTGTTGTTCTTGCTGTCCTTACTTTTGAACTTTCTGTAAGAATCGTATACTTTTTTTGCTATCACCATGTAAAACAGAAGCATTAGGATGAAAACCGTCCAGAAAATAACCTGGGAGGTGTAAGTTACCACTTGGTGCCATTTCAGCCCCAGAGGACCCTTCAGAGAGGCGCACTTTTTCACAGACGACGGCGTTGCTTCTTTGTTGCTCAAGATCATATTTGGCAGGGAGATGAAGAACAGAAAGAGCCAGATGAGGACTGAGACCAGTTTTGCAAAAGCAGGTTTTTTAACAAAACATTTTTTGAAAGGCTTGATGATTTTGAGGAATCTGTCAAAGGCTATGAGGCCGAGCAGCGTGATGCCCACATACATGGTCTCATAAAAGATCACAGCCGAGAAGCGACACACGAAAGCTCTGAGTTGCCAGGGTCCGAGGTGTGAGTCAGAGAGGATTTTGAAGGGGAGCATGAGTGTCATTATCAAGTCGGCCACCAAAGTGTTCTTGAGGTAGACGATGAAGGTGGAGGAGCTGGGAATGTGAACGAACACCCACAGGGCCAGGGTGTTCAGCAGAAGGCCGGCGAAGAACACCACGGTGTAGAGGGCTGGGAACACCTGCTGTGCTATCCGCGTGTCCCTGGGGCAGCGCTCAGACCCATTGAGGCCCCGCATCGCCGTGGCGTTCATGGTTTCCAGCGTTAACTATTATCAATAAACAAAAAGCCCTTCGTCAGTTGCAGTGCTGCATGTATAAAACGGACATCAAGTTTGTAGCATATTAACACCCTGCATTTATTCAACACATTCAGTGACTCTGTCGAGAAGAAAGGTACTTGTTATTATGTTTCTGGCTAGAATTCTTAAAGCGCGTGATACATTTTTAAAACAGCACCATTACTATAATAGCCTCATGAAATCTAAGTTATGGTTCTGCTTCCTTTGCAAATGCTGCTTTTAACATGGCAGTGCCACAAACCCTACTGAAGAGGTTGCGGTGCACTGCAGGTGACTGTACATTATAAAGTTCCTTAAGCTCATAACCGTTGATTTTGTAGAATATTAATTCCAAAGCCCTCTTTTTTTCCCCTTTAGCATATTCTACCTTTTATAAGTAAGCACACTCATAATAAAACTGAAATTCACCTTCGTTTGGGAGGGTTCTCCGTCCTGTGCCTTCCAATTGCAGCATTCGTTAGTTCTGCCCACGAAGAGCCTGTGAAGCAAATGTGGTTCTGCTTTCTTATACTGGGTTTCCTTCCTCATTTCACTTGTGTAACGTGACCCATCAGAATCTGTTCATGTTCAGACCTTTGAGGGATTCGCCGATATGTTTTTAGTTCAAACTAATGTTCTCTATATCTGCTATGACTGGAATAAATGAGTTTATTGGCAATGTGTTTTTTTTAAGTTTACTTCTTCCATGAGAGAGAAAGAGAGAGAGAGAGATAGAGAGAGAGAGAGAGAGTGAGTGAGTCAGAGATAGACGGAACCCCTAATAGAGTCTTCATACCACAGTCTACTCTAGCTGCAGCCGGCGAAGTCCGTGCCTGGAATTCTCAGAGAAGATGCAAACCTAGCCCTTCCCACATGTGTCAGCTTTGTGAGCGTCACCTTTTATTGCTGTACCACCATCTGGCCCTTGACAATTTTTCAATATTTTAGAATGACTTTTTTTTTTTTTTAAGAGGCTTTTGCTATAGGGCACGTGTGCTCACCAGAAAGAGAGAGACAGAGAGACAGAAAGGGAGAAATCACTGCCCCCCACCCCCTGGGGGGAATGGTCACACCACAATCCCTTCTCCTCCATTCTGCTCTTGGGATCTTGGGCACGCATGCACACACGCCCAGCATGAGTTTAAGCCACCGGGTCTGGGACTCGAACCGCAGTCAACTACATGGGAGTCCAGTGACATAGCCATTATGCCAACTGCTGGTCCCTAAAGCTAACTTAAATAGTTTTTTAAAAGTTTATCTTTTTGGTCTGCATGTTTAATGAATTTTTGATTGCCTCTTATGTACAGTAATGGGAGGTAGCAAGAGTTGAGGAAAATAGCTGAGTAGGAGAGTAAGATCTGACTCTCACATGGAACAATCTTTGGCCTCCTTACAGGCTGGGCTTTCCAGAAATCTGTGTTCAGGAGGTTAACTTTTTTATTTTGATGGACTCACATGCAGTTATCATATCATTCCACTTATTAGAAAGCCGTGTTTGGACGTACTTTCTGCTTTTGATGTATCCACAGTACAGGCGACTTTTGCTATAGGGCACGTGTGCTCACCAGAAAGAGAGAGACAGAGAGACAGAAAGGGAGAAATCACTGCCCCCCACCCCCTGGGAGCAATGGTCACACCACAATCCCTTCTCCTCCATTCTGCTCTTGGGATCTTGGGCACGCATGCACACACGCCCAGCATGAGTTTAAGCCACCGGGTCTGGGACTCGAACCGCAGTCAACTACATGGGAGTCCAGTGACATAGCCATTATGCCAACTGCTGGTCCCTAAAGCTAACTTAAATAGTTTTTTAAAAGTTTATCTTTTTGGTCTGCATGTTTAATGAATTTTTGATTGCCTCTTATGTACAGTAATGGGAGGTAGCAAGAGTTGAGGAAAATAGCTGAGTAGGAGAGTAAGATCTGACTCTCACATGGAACAATCTTTGGCCTCCTTACAGGCTGGGCTTTCCAGAAATCTGTGTTCAGGAGGTTAACTTTTTTATTTTGATGGACTCACATGCAGTTATCATATCATTCCACTTATTAGAAAGCCGTGTTTGGACGTACTTTCTGCTTTTGATGTATCCACAGTACAGGCGACTTTGGGGATTTCATCAATCATCCTTAGACCAAAGTCTTCTCAAATGTTTCTTTTAAATTTCTTTAAGTTTGAAAAGGTTTAATTGCTACTTTTGTATAGAAAAAGTTGTTTTTCATGCTCCTTTGCCAGGTTAA